GTTTTTTCTCGGAAATCAGTGAAACTGGGGCAACAGGTTGCCGTTATGTGGTTCAGCTTTCCAGGAGAACCTGAGGGGGATTAACGTTGAGGTGAAGCGACGGCAGCCAAAAAGAAAACTAAAGCCATCACGGAGTCGAGCTTTATAAGTATGGAAATATTTCAGGTAATAGAGGGGCCCCCAGAAGGCCGAATCAAAATTGAATGGTCCAAATATTACCCCCAGGGATCAGTTCAAAAAAAAAACAAATTTTTATTGCATTTTTATTATTTTCAGGGTTTTTTTGAGAATCTTTCGGATATCGAAACTGAGCATACGCGATGCCTAGCATTTTTGCTGGTCTATTCGCACGCGCTGTTGTTCGTGGATCCGGGTTGTCGTTTCGATCAGAGCTATTGCCGCGCTCTGAAACATGCCAACGAGTTGCGTATTCGTCTACGTGAGCAAATTTCGTCAAAATTAGAAGCAGTAGAGGATTTCCCGCATGCATGGGCTGTTGAGGGACGTTTGGCGCAACCACGTTTTCTGTTTGCATTCCATCGTCATCTTTTGCGTGTGGATTTATCGTCCCTGCGAAGGGTTTGTTAATTTTTGTTTGTATTTCAACAAAACTTATATTTATAAGCGCTTTTATAAGCCCTGCTTTTGTGAATATATATAAGATCAATTGATCAAAATTAAATAAAAAGTTATATTAACAACGGATGAAAGAAGAATTTATAAAAAGAATTGTACGTCATCAACAAAACTCACATTTATAAGCTCTTTCATGAGCCCTGCTTTTTGTATAATCGTTTTTTGTATAATTCTAACTGAACTTTTGCACTACAAATACGCTAAACCTTTATCTAAATTATCATTTTTGCCACAGTCGTCGCACTGACGAGGTCCAGTTGTGGTAACGGTAAGAAATGTATACGACTTAATACTCCCCTTCCTTTTTTTCACTTCGTTCTCCTTCTCTTCTTTTCCCCTCTCCTCATTTTCTGTTTTACCTTTAAATGTATAAGATCAATTGATCAGAATCAAATAGAAAAGTATATTAACAAGGGATGAAATAAGGCGAAGAATCAAAAAGAAAGGTAGGAAATGAGAATTACAAAATTTGTAAAATTAGCAAAATTATTATAAAAGCCTGATGCATAGTTGATTTTTATGCGAGACGAAGCACATGCATTTAGCCGGAATGATAATAAGTTGCAAAGGCTGATTAAACTTTAGCAAAGCTAACGAAAACTTATTTTTTCGAGATATTCTGAGAGGTGTTCTGACGGGTAGTTTTACCCTTCTGGCATGGGCAAGTACGATTTTGTTCGGTAGGAATAAACAGTTCATTGCGGAGCTGGTTAGTCCGCTGATTCTCAAAAATTCATTCTTAATTCCGAGAGTAACAATTTAACTATGAATACGTCTTGTTGGCCAGCAAGTTCTGCTACAGCACTATAAACGATGGATCAAAGTGTACTACGAAGTACAGACTTTAGCAGAAACACAAAGAAAAGTGAGGAGGAACAGAGATTGAGAGTAAAATTTTTGGAAAATTCGCAAATTTATCGTGAAAATTCCCAAGTACATATCCCTGGATTTCCCCCATTGTTATCTGCATCAGTCTTTTCTCTACGATATATTTGGCTTTCTAGATTGTCTTAAATGTTTAATTTCTTAAATTTCTTTTTTTTTTCTTGAAATATTAGCTTTCTGTAAGGAAGAAAGTCTCGAATGACATAAAAGTTATTTTCTTAATAATTTTGCTTTTGATATCACTGGTGGATTTGCAGAATATTTGAAGTTACAAATAACTTTTTTGCGAATTTTTTTAATTTTTTAATTCTAGTAATTTTAGAGAGATCTAAAG